TTTTGCTGATCCCAAAACAATTCGAAACTCACAGAAATAATATAACGCAAAAAACATATTAACAGTGGTAGTGCCCGCTTTAACATCTTAGCACGAATTGGCCGGCACGCCCGGAGTAATACCACGATCACACAGAAGACGGGCGTGAAATGGAACCAATGCCGTGTTTCGTCTGATGAGTGTGGTGCCGGAGGCCTAATTTAAGTCCCTTTCTCTTTACCACCCTTTTCTTATGAGAGGATGGGAAGGGGAAGTGGATTTGACGATGGAGAAGATGCATAGGAAGAGGAAATATCCTCTTTATGTGCGTCTCCTCCTCCGTCGGATAAGGGTAGGCAACGCATCTGCAATTTCAGATGTCTATGGGCAGCGGTTGCTTTTCCATTTTGGCGGATTCAGGTGGGCGCTTGCTCGTTTGCCATCTTATGTTATGAAAAAAATATATGTAAATATTCACATTTATAGTAATCTAGTGTTTTTTTTATTCAAAGAAGTTAATTCCTTCTTTTTAGAAATGTATCTTTTAAAATCACCTCGGATTAGGTTAATATGCTAATCTATGTTTGAATTACGTATGTAAATATATGATTACCTTCAATAGAAATCGTCAAGTACCCATGATACTTTCACTGGGCGAAATTTATAATTTCACCTTCCACTCCATTCCGCTCTACATCGATCATTGCGTAAAATAATGGCCCGTAAGTCGCTTTACCGGATTACGTTCTCTCCAATTTAATTACAAAGCCATTACGAGCCCCTCAGCGGGTATAGTGAGCTGGTGATTATGATGATGATAAAGTTTTTTAATGTGTTTTAAATTTAATACCAATTTCATTGATAAAGACGTTCATCCTACAAAAGCATCTTGTCTTATTTTAACTAAACTAATATAGAGGGTAAAGATTTATATTTTGTAAGTATGGAAATAACTCAACTACTGGGCCGATTTTAAAAATTCTTTCACTATTCAAAAGCTAAATTATCATAGTAACATAGGATATTTTTTTAATTCCACGCCGACAGACGCGAGCAACAGCTAGTTTCAACTAAAATAATTGCTAACATTTTACCATTGTCGCATTTTAACAAGACTCTCATTTCCCACATTATTTATTTCAGTCAAAGAAATTTCCGTGTACTCAGACTTAGTCTTTCACAACAATACACATCTCGTAACGACAAAACCTGAATGAACATTTCACACGCCAATCTAATCACTATAAATTATACTTGACATAGTAATTTGTCCTGTATGTTTAGGAGATAGAGGTGATTATTCCCCAACTATTCATCGTGTGAACTATTTCGTCAACGAATGTTTATCGCATTACGAAACGCAATGATTATCGTTTATGTAAGTTATGATAAATCTTATATAATTAATAATATACAGATATAATGTCTATTTATTCTCTACCTGGCTGTATTTATATCTAACCTAATGAAATTTTAAAGATTGGTAGATTTCATAAAAAACAAAACAAGGGCCGACACACACGGACAGTTTTAAGCGGTCAGTACGGTAAAAAACTTCACCATACACGAACCAATATAGTCTTTTAATTCGAACATGACGCAGCAAAAATGAGGACCAACGCAAAGCTTCCCATAAAATTAGTACGATATCAATTATGTCGGTTGCCGGGTGAGACCTAATTCCATAAATAGCGTAGCTACGATTTGTGTGTAACGTTTTAAAAACGAGAGCTCGCTCTTCTCTCTTTTACCATAAACAGCACAAACGAATTATTTTAATAAAATTCGTCTACAAAAAACACTGACGCGTTTCTTCTCGTATAATAGTTACTGTTCCATTTTACTGGCTTGTGTATTCCCGCCCTTATTCGAATAAAGAAATATATTACAAACTAGCTTTTGCCCACGATTCCGTCCGCGAGAAAATTAAAAACAATAATAACATAATGAAAAAGCATTGCGTTTGTTACTTACAGATAAATTACCTTTCTAAAGGTGAAAGAATTTTTAAAATCGGCCCATTAATATTTGAGCCTATTGATTACAATCAAACAAAGTTTTGCTTTTTATGATGTTAGTATAAACTAGTTATTTTGGCAATAAAACAGTTGAAACGTCGATATAGTCTGTCTCATGCATTTTACCGTATTTCGTTTCTCTATTCTCTGATCTGTTGTTTTATTAATAATATTTCAAATGTATAAACATCTACACAAGCATTTACTTTTCCTTTACAATTTTGATGCAACTTTTTTATTATATTCAACAAAGAGCATTGTTACACTTAAACGTAATGTAATTACTTAAAACTGTACAAAGGAAGTATTAGTTGAATACTTAGTCATTGTCGTTCGTCATTCAGTCAAATGATCCGAGATATCACATGATTCATGTTATTGACTGCGTTCAGTCATCTTTATGTCTGCTTCCGTTTATGTATTTAACATTTTTGGAATGTCTAGTTTTTAAGTCTACCCATATAAGGGGCAAGGACAGGTTTTATTCTGTCTTGAAGGATACGAATTGTATTGTGATTTTATAATAAAAATTAAAAATAAACGCTTACACAGTTTGGTTTTGAGCTATTTCGGGATGAAATTGTGAAAAAAAACTGTTTTTTTTTTTGTGAAATTTCTCCGAAATAGAATGATGCTACCATTAGTATATATGCAGTATTTATTAAACAGACAATGAAACTTTGTACGTCATTTTAATAGGCAACACGCAGTCAAATGCCAGATTATTGTGACTAATGATCGCATTGGTTAACCGCAAGAATTAACACGCAAATCCATACACAATTTGCGTAAATATTTTACAATTATAATCACCGACAAATCTTGAACATCGTCCGTTTGTAATTTGCCTGGACTTACGAAGGACGGTTATGATTACGATTGGTGGTATCACTAAATCTTAAGTAACTGAAGTAAATTATTAACAATAATAGATTTTATTGTTAATTAATATTATTTACATTTAGGTAGCAGTTTGCGGTTAAAAATATAAACTTGGCACATTATCGTCTCTAAATATAACGATGAGAGAAAATACTTTTAAAACGAAATGTTGAAGGTCACCTTGTTGACCGCACACCTACATAAATCATTTGAAAAATAAACAAACCATATCAATAAATACATACGCTTTCTTTGTCAAAGTTTAACTTTATTATCAATAGTATCGAAATATAAAGTTAAAAACTTTACAACCAAATCGAACTTAATGTTTCCGTGAAATACTCGTTTAGCTAACCAAACGCCACAAACTACCTGTTACGACCAAAAAAAATTAAATCGAATTCACATACTTGTTGAAACACAATAAACAAAGAACCCGGCTTTAGCTTAGATATACAATACATCTTTCAACACCTGCACAAACGATAACAATTCCACTGCACATTCACCATTACTGGCTTTATCCAAACTTTAAATAACTCCGGCACTAAACCGGTAATGTATTTGGAACTAAAAGCGATAATGTTCCATAGTACAATATCCATTGCTGGCTTTAACTAAATTTTATCACGTACTGGAAGTAAACCTTCGATGGATTACAATGCTCGTTTAAATTCCAAACCGATGGCAGCGTGCTTCGGGGTGCATTGCCTTTGAAACAGGTTCTCCAAGTGCATTGTGGGTCACAATAAGTACACGGACGAGATCACAAGCGGTCCTATTGAAGACTTTTATGTTATAGGCTTGTATATTTGTTTTATTGTTTATAGGCTTTTATGTTAGGGCTGGTGCGTTTGAACAACTATTTTAAACTGCTTTCAATAAGTTACAAAAGTAACTAAATATGAACCAATTTTATAAAATACAAAAAAGTATTGATTTTAAACGACTTTTAAAAGACAGTGATTCTTAAATGGCGAGACATTTCCTGGCTGATTTTACTTAAATCGTGACAGCTTTTAAACCCACTGAAAGGTGTTTTGCTTATAACGAGATCGAAATCTCATAGTAAGCAACATAGTATATTCTTATCGCCCATTGAGCGTGGTTGGATAACGATAACAATAATGGCAAAGCGCACCTGGTTTAACCACAGAACTAGCAAATCGCTAGCTAACAAACAATACAGATTTAGCTGGGAGATTCATTACGAATATTTGCATGACAGTAACGTCCTCCATCATTGAATTTACTGCATACATCTAATACAAATTCTCTCGATGACGTTACGTTACGATCTCACAAATATTCGTGATAAACCCCGTATACACTGCGATAACAAGTGTGTTGACTACAACAGTGTAAACCCACGGTTACTTAAGGAAGTGCATTTAACGGCCAGATGTTAATTAGTGAGGCGACAGTGTTGCGAAGGCTGCAACCAACCTGACATATTCGTGACTTGCATTTAACACAGAAATATGGAGTCCTTAATAAATATAACAAATGGGAAATACAAGATTTATAATTGATTACGTAAAGTTGTTTGCGATGTATATTATAAAGTAATTTTAGTTTAGCGAGTTTCATGCATGTTTGTATAAAATAGGGTTCCTATAAAGGGACTTTTATAGTTATATTGTTTAAAATTCAATAAATACAATAAAGGTAGCTTAAACTAAAGCGTACAAGGTTCAATATTAAATGCAATATCGCCAGGGTTATCGAATAACTATTCTCGTATAGAGGACGTCTTTATCTCAAGTGATAGCAAATCCGTTCATAAATATGAAACAGTTTACAGAAGTGCATTTTTTTGTGACAAAGGAATTGAGAGTAGTATATTCTGAATGGATCAAAACAATGCTTACAGTTACGTAAAATGTAAACAAAGTTACATGGAAACATTTAAGAGAACCAAATTAATAATTATTAATTCTAACTTTTCTGTGAGACTGTTCAAAAAGGTCGTGTTTTAATAACTTGTTACGCCGTATATATTATCTACAAAATACGATAAACGATATCGTCACGCGTCATCTGCGCATTCCATAGACAAACGCGCGATATGTAGAGTTCTGTTACCGTCAGTTTCCCGTGAGTTGTCGTAAATAGCATCGCTTCCATCTCTTTCATTCCCTTATAAATAACAGAGATAACAAAGTGTTTATTTACAGATAATTCGGCAGTGACAACTCACGGTTAGGGAGTTTCAACACAATCGTGCAGGACTAACGGTAGTTGAAACAAACAGCGGAGCGGGAGAAAGCGAGGATCGAGCGGTGAAAGCAGCGTCAGTACAGCCGCCGCGCCGCGACGGACGGTCGACATAACCTCAAATATGTTCCTGACAACAATAACTATAGCAACCGTCGCAGCCGCAGTATACTGGATCATGAACCGACACAAACCCCTCAAGCATTTACTGAGCGACTTCCGTTACATGATGGACATGCAAGGAGCGGGTGCGGGAGGACTTATCGACGATTGGATCAATATACGGAGAAATAAAATCGAGTTGCCGGACGCTAGTAGAAAAGTCGCCGTTATAACCGGCGGAGCGCGAGGCATCGGCACTGAAGTAATCAGAGGCCTGCTTAAAGCTAATGTCACCGTTATAATGGGCATTCGAAAACCTGACGCGGCTAAAAAGATGATCGAAACAATGGAGAATGGGAAAAATTTACATGTATTCTCACTCGATTTACAATCACAGAAGTCAGTTAAGGAATTCGTTAATTGCGTCACAAAGGATTTCCCAGAGATTAATTATCTAATAAACAATGCTGGGATAATGTATGGAGATTACAAGTTAACGGAGGATGGCATAGAGTCACAGTTTGCTGTGAACCATTTGAATCATTTTTATTTGACACATTTATTGTTGCCAGCATTGAAAAAAGCTGGCAGGGTAGAGGAGCCTTCGAGAGTTGTTAATGTCTCATCTTGCGGTCATTACCCTGGAAAGATATTCTTTGATGACATTAACATGAAGCAACATTATGACACAATAGCTGCATATGCCCAATCTAAACTTGCACAGGTATTAAATGTTCCTATATTTCATTCCAATAATAAGTTAAGTAATGTTTATTTATGTTTTCTTGTCTTTGTTTCAGATAATGACAGCAAGATATCTCAACAAGTTATTTGACAGTCAAGACGCAAATGTAAAATTCTATTCAGTACATCCTGGAATTGTTGACACCGATTTGTTTGAGAATACAACCTTTAACAAACTACCATGGCTGAAGAAGATATTCTTCAAAACACCAGAAAAAGGAGCTACTCCGATATTATTTGCCTGTTTTAACAAAAATATTGAAGAAAAAGGTGGACTCTATATTAGCAACTGTGTAGAAGGAATAAGCAATAGATATTCTAAAAATGTAGACCATCAGAAGAAACTATTTGATATTTCCTGTGAACTAACTGATATTGACCCTGACAAGTTTGGACTGAATTAAAAAAAATGTCTACAGTTCTAAGCAGTGACAAACAATGACTTTAGTAATATATAACTATTTAATTTATTTACACCCTTTTTTATATTTTTATTTAAATATATTCTGTATAAAATCATTTTGTTTTTTTCTTTAATTGCCTACCTAATCTGTTAGGCTAATTAAAACATTATAATTACTAAACATCTCAAATGTTGCCATATAAAATGGGTAAATATACAAAACACCAGTTTCATAGAGATAAATAACTAACTAATAGCAATCTGTAGCAGCTGAAAATCGAATCACAAAACAATTATACCAACTTAAAGAATCAATCGGAAAACTTGCTATACCTTACTCTTGATGACAGATCTAACATAACTTAACTTTATACCTAAAACATAGTATAGAACTTATTACTAGAATTTTCTGACACCAAAATACATATCACACAATTCTTATCCCTGGCCATTTATGTGGGGTCAGTGCGAAATTTTAGTTTAATCAAACAAATCAACATCTAAATAAATTAAAAGCACTAACCTGCTAAAAAATCCAGACAATCCTTTCTTCTTCAGCTTACTGTTATCTTGGTCCTTGTTCACATCAACATCATCATCCTTGGAAGCACTGGACCCTAGGGAACATTCAGATAAGCTGGACACAGTACTCGAGAATGAGCCTCCGTCCTTCCCTCGCTGGTGACCGCTCACACTGCCTCCCCACTGCAATGTGCTCTTTGGAGAGTCACTGGTATCACTCTTCTCACATGTCGATATTGAATAGTTCCCTTCATCACTAAAACTACTCTTTTTCGACAATTTATCAACTTCATCAGTAGTGTCAGGAGGTTTATCCACTTTAGGACTTACAAAGTGCAACTGTTTCGTTATAGGATTATACGCCAGTTGGATGTTGTCCAGGGCTTCGCTGAGGCGCATCCCGCCCTTGGCGCATGGCGTTGACGACATGGTGTATCAAAACTGGACTACGTTCACAAGCTACATCCATGTTGTGAACTCAAAACAAACATCATCAATGATCATAAATTAGCTACTAATCATAAGTACACTATTTTAGTTAATAGCACTGATATGCACATCACTACAGAAACAACACTCAATGTAAATATTTGATTTAAATGCTACAATACAAACGATTGCTTCGAAGACTAATATATTTACAATGGATTCTATAAACAAGTCACTAATTGATCAAAATAATTAGGCGCCTAACTACTAACACTACTTTTTATTTAATTAAAAATTCTTTCTAACTAAAACTCAAAGCAACACACCCACCACCATCTCTTTTCGACTGTAAATAAATTGACATTTGCTTTGATTTGCTTCAATTTCCTTGGAGAAGTTCACAAAAGACTGTAATATACGCCTAAATAAGAAAGGTACAGAATCTTTTGTGAAAATCAAAGATTGTAATAACTTTTAATTCTGTAGGATTATTTTACTTTATGCTTAGTGCTGTCAATGTCACAGATAATAAAATTGACTTCAATTAATTAAAGTCACGATTTTTTGTCATTTACAATAATATTAAGTAAAAATTAAACTTTTTGTTTTCTGAAATTAAAATAAACAATAACAATATAAAAAAAAACAAGTTCCACTAACGTCACCTTCAAGATCCGTTTTTTCTCCCCACTTAACTGAGCATGTTTTTGTTTATGGTTTTCATAAAATGGAATGCTGCCAGTTGAAATATCATTTCCCAAATTCACGGCGAAAAAAATCTATTATGCTCTTTAAAATTCGATAAAGATACTGTCGTATGCAGTATTCTTAAAATTGGAAGACTCGTAGAGATTTTTTAAATGGATTAAGGTGCGGTGCGAAGCTCATAGTAATCAGACAATTGGAAATAACCTGGCTACAAATACAAATATATCGTAAATGTGACATTAGGTAAAATAAAGCAAGCATAAACTGTAATCAAAATAATTTATTTTTACGTTGCAAATATTCGTTTTATGGTCACTTCAGGAATACTCAGCCTTTCTCGAAGGCCGTTAATACAATATATTAACTAAATTAATAATATAAAAATAGTTTCAATAACCTATTGTTATTTACAATTAACTATTTTTACGTACAACTTTTTTAAGAGATTAATTACAAAAAATATAAATCCATTTAAGATATTCAGTTTATACGCGATATACAAAAGCGTTTAATAAATAAATTACTCGAATAAGGAAGTCTTTATATGTTCATCGCCATCACTTCCTTGTCCTGTAACTCGGGAAACAACTCCAACACGCAGAGATCCAACAAGCTGTACACCAACTGGAAAGTTATTATTACTTTAATAAACATAATTATTATTAATTAAACATTTAATAACAGAGTATGGCTGCAAGTGTTATAAGCATTATAAATAGCAAATAAAACATTATCCCAAAATAAAAAGGAGAAAAAGGTTAAATGAACTGGCAACACATATAATATGATAAGTTTATTTATACTAACATAAGGGAAAGATTTTTATTTTTGTATGTATGGTAATAACTCAAAAAATACTGGGTGAATTTTAAAAATTGTTTCACCTTTGGAAAGGTATTTTATCTATGAGTAACATGCCATATTATTTAATATCCCGCGGACGAAGTCGCGAGGAACAGTTAGTAATATCATAATGCCAAGACCTAATTTAAGTTAGTACGTATCTCTAAAACGAATTTCGATGAAATTTGTTACAGATATAGAACATAGTCTGGAAGAACTCGAGCACAAATTTTATTTTTATCTATGACATGCAAATATCAAATATGCAGCAAATATTTATTTAAAAACATTGTTTATGAGTAAGGGCCTGTCCCACCAAATTGTAAATTGTCTGACAACAATCCAACAAGGAAATATCGGATTTTGTTACCTGACTGACGTCATTTTAGCTATCTGAACTTATATCAGCCGGTGGTGGGACAGGCGTGAAGTGGATGTAATTCCGCGTTTCGTCTGATGAGTGTCGGAGGCCTAATTTTAGTCCCTTTCCCTTTCCACCCTTTTCTTAAGAAAAAGGATGGGAAGGAAAAGTGGATTTGACGGTGGAGACGCATAGGAAGGAGAAATATCCTCTTTATGTGCGTATCCTCCGTCAATGAAGGGTAGGCAACGCATCTGCGATTGCAGATGTTTATAGGCAGCGGTCGCTTTCCATTTCGGTGGATTTGTGGTTTGCCACCTTATGTTATAAAAAAAGGCCCTAGTACTGTTATAATGGAGTCATCCGAACCTGTTTGTTAAGCTGCGGGCTCTGTATAAGATCGAAGGCGTGTCGCAGCGCGGGCAGCGGCAGACGCGCGCGCGCCGCCTCGCGCTGCGAGCGGGGCTCCGCGCGGGGGGGGAGGCTCCGCTTGCCGAACACCAACCCTGATATTATTTAATTTACCTCTTATATCATACTAATATTATAAATGCGAAAGGACGGATGGATGGTTTGTTAAAATTTGTAGCCTAAACAGCTGAACGGATTTCGATGAAATTTGGCATAGATGTAGAGGAAAGTCTGAAAGAAAGACTACCTGTTTTTGTTTTTTTTTTAAACTCCACGCGGATGGAGTTCGCGGGCGAAAGCTTGTTTTACAATAATATTAAAAAACATGTTATGTACAAATAGTGCACCACCGGCTGTGGAATCTGATGACTCAAGATTATCTAGACTATTTATAAAGAAGAAAGAGTTGTATATTTGTAAGTATGGAAATAACTCTAAGACTACTGGGCCGATTTCAAAAAATCTTTCACCATCTGAAAGCTACGTTATCAGTGATTATTCACGGCCGAAGTCGCGAGAAACAACTATTAGTATATAAATTAATTACAAAAATCTTATATATGTAAAATAAACAAGCCTTTATTATTGTATTTTATTATAGCAACACTCACCGTGTCCTAATCGTATGAGATGCGCCATCCTCCTCTCACAAAGTAGGGTAGCCAGCGTTGTGTTGAGATACGAGTTAAACGCGTCATCCAGTACAGTGCGCGTCATCGACAACAAGCTGCCCGCAATGCCGCACAGGAAGGTCGGCGCTTTCACAACCTTTAGCACTGGAAACATTTACATTTTCACTGTCTAAACACTTGTATAATATATTACCATCCTGCTTATTATAAAAAAGCAACATGTTTTTAGCTTCAAAGTAACAAAGTGGACATAATGAATAAAAAGTCGCAAACTACATTGGTACAGTCGAGGAAATCGTCGGTGTTCCATTTACAGAAAAATTGGCTTATTTATTGCAACGGAGACAAACTCCGGTTCTAATTACAAATAACTAATTAGTTAGCAGTAATTTGCGCAAACGATTGATAAAAAAAATAATAAATCTTAGTATATTATTGTTCCGCATTTAAACGACTGTACTTTTAAAGTGAAACACTACCAAATTTCCCGAATGTACATGGAGGTATTCGAACCCAGGACATACAAATTACAAGTTAAGTTAACCCTTAATTCATTGACGATCTAGATATAAACTTACATAAATACATGAAGCACTGTGTAAAGCCCGCGACCGCCGCCTGCTGTCCGCCGGGTCGGGGGGCGGGCACGGGGGGCGGCTCCGCGAAGTTGTCCCCGAACACCTGCCCGCGCGCCCCCCGCGCACCTCCAGCACCCGCCGCACCCACCGCACCCCCCGCACCCACCCGCAATGATGACCCCTCGTCCGCTTCTAGCGCTTCCTCCACTTCACGGACCCCCTGCTTACTGAAGTTGAGCAAAAATCTTAAAAACCACCAAAATATATTTGTTTCAAGATTAATAAGACAATATCTATAATTATATTTGAAACAAACAATAATATCCGAACTAATAAAGATAGATTTACTGTCACATTAAAAAGTTAATTCATAGGATTCATTCGAGATGTTTTACACCAAAATAACAAAACAAAGACTTATCCATACTTACTAAAACTAATATAAAATATTATAAAGAGGAAAATTTTGTATTTTTGCATTTTTTTATGTATTGAAATAACTCAAAAACTACTGGACCGATTTCAAAAATTCTGTCACCATTAAAAAGCTACGTTATCGCTGGGTAACATAGGATATTTTTTTTTACTTTTATTAGTGACATAACGCTGTTGAAATAAATAATTTAAACAAAAATACAATATATATTGCTACCATAATCATATACTTACAGAGCTTGATACCGTTCTTTATCAGAAGAAACCAAGAAGTTCCTTAAAAAACTTTCCAAATGCTGTCCCTTCTCTTTCCTCAGTTTATGTGCAACAGACTGGTAGATGTTGCCCAGGTCTGGGCTGTTGGCGTTCAGGGTGGAGGCCTGCACCACCAGGGAGAAGTCTCCGTCCACCGTGAGGAACAGGTACAGCAGCTCGCTGGTCTGCAGCAGCGGCTTCTGGAGTAACCTTTGTAAGAAGTCTTCGTATTTGTACCGGAGAGTCTCCAGAGGACTGTTGTCTCTGGAAAGAGAAATTACTCGGTTAACATTTTAAAGGTAATTGTTATTTATCTAAATAGGCGAAATGATTTAAAAGTTTTACCTTGTATCTGACTTCATCAAAATTAATATAATAGCACGCAAAACATTGCATCTCACTTAGTCTGTCTTACTTTTGGCGTTAAAAATTACCGTCGTCCTTGCACCAAGATACGGCCCGCCACATTTTACAAATAACCATAAAGTAACAATGAATTTTGAGTAACTGTATAACATTAAAAAGCAATTAGCCGGTTTTTATTGTACAATGATATTTTATAGCTGTTGGTTATTGTTCCTCATCTTATGTACAAAACGTTCAAAAACTATCTTGAACTACCTAGGTACAGCTGGGGAATCTGACGGCATTCCACTATAAAAGTAAAAAATGTTTGAGCATTTTGAAACGAGACGTGGAACAAAAACCAATACAACGCACCTTTAAATATCTGTATAAGAAAGGCAGTGATACACGGCATTTTAACTTATTGTCCCTTTGCACTTAGTGCTATCTAATAAGATATATGTAAGAGGTGGAGTATGTCATTTCAAAGCAATTTTAGTAAAGTGGGTCACCGCGGAATACCTCAACTGTACTTACCGTCTTGAAGGCAGTGCGAGGTCGTGCAGCGCGTCTCCGTGGAACTCATGCAGCTTGGCGCGGAGCAGGTGGAAGTCGTGCTCCGTGCGGCGAGCCCCCCAAAGCTCCGCGCCCCCCGCACCCCTTGTACCCCCTGCACCCACCGCACCCCCCGCCCGGTGCACCGCTAGCGTGAACACCCGCACAGTACCACGCCGCGGCGGAGCTTGCTGTTGAATATTTCAACTGTTGAACCATATTCGTTATACAGGATGCTCTAATCGTGAGTAAGTTTTTTCAATATACAGGGTGTTGGTTCCTTCAGTTCAAGTTTTTAATTAAAATATTGTATAGGCCAGTACGAGTTATTTAGAGCACTCAAAATAATGGAAAGATAATATTAGTTAAGAAATCAGACATTACAGACGGGTAACTTTGCGTTTAAACATATAAGTTAATAATTAAGGTTTTTTAAATTCCGCAGTTACTATCGCCTACAGCAATTTAATATATATCTATACCAATATTATAAGGTGGAAATATTTGTACTCTTGTATGTATCGAAATAACTCAAAAATTTCTGGGCCGATTTCAAATTCTTTTACCATAAAAAAGCTACATTATCATTGAGTAACAAAGACTATATTTTTTATTATTTTTTTAATTTCTCGCGAAGTAATAAAACTAGTATATGTCGCAGGAAGCTATAAATTGACTGTTGCTTTATGTGTAACAAACGTTATTGTCTTGCGTTTTAATATTGTTTAAGATAAAATTATTAATTTAATTCCTTTTTCTCGAAAGTAGAAACTCGATGTCATTTGTATTTAGTTCTTTTTAAAATTAAAAGTACGTCAACTTGCATACGACCAATAAGAGCAGAGCAAGCGGCTCGAGTGGCCTTTATTAGCTCGAGCGGGGTCGAGGCGCAGTTCAGTGCTTAGAGGGCGACGTTTGTAGTGACATGTTGTGGTGCGTGTTGGCACAGTGGCGAGTCGATTGAGGAGAGTTGTGTAGTAGAAGTACGAACAGGTGCCACGAACCCGCTGCTCGGTCTTGCTTGTTGATTTGCTATGTGATAAGTGTAGATTCCGAATTATATTGTGTTAATCCGTGTCTCTAGTGTTTTAATGCTCGCACTTCACCCAAATAACGCCCACGAAACCAAGACTCGGTAGCAATGATGTCGGGGAGAAAGACCCAACTCCGACATATATTTATATTTACTTACAAGTTGCGTTTCCACATTAGTGAGGACCACTTTAAAGTTGGCGAGGTCCTGCTCCATGCTGTCCTCGGCCGCGATGGAGTCCAGGTACTTGAGGATGTCCAGGTTCTCCATGCCGTCGTCCAGCTGGTTGTAGCCCTCCAGCAGCTGGCCGTCCACCGCCGGTGACCTTAGCGCGCCCTTCAGACGACTGCCTATCTTCATAGCCGCGTTCAATAACTTATCTTGTTGTCTGAGAAAAAACAATCATACATTCATACTAATGCTAGCTTTAGCCCGCGTCTCCATTCGCATGGAATTAAAAAAAAGTAAGAAGCCTCTGTACTTCCAGACTATCCTCTGCATCTCTACCATATTTCATCGAAATCGGTTCAGACGTTTAGGCTACAGTCTTAACAAAACCATCCATCCATCTTTACTTTCGCATTTATAACATTAGTATGGTTATAAATGCGAAAGTTTGGATGGATGGATGTTAGAAAGTATCCAAATGACTTAAACGATCTCGATGAAATTTGCCTAATAAATTTTAACCTAAGCCATTTAATAATAAAATAACTACTTAATAAGTATTTTTTTTAATTGCTGGCAGTTTTAGTCACCAGCAAAACCTAAATTATTAAAAAAAAACTTAAATGAATCTATTTAAAATAGTATCGTGATAAAAAAAATTGCTCATAGCGATAAGGACAGTTCGCGTTTAGTTCAATCTAGTTTTAATTTTAAAAAAATAACTCTTGTGCATAACATGTAACATGAATAAAAAAAGACATATATGGACAGGACAAGGTTATTAACAAAAAACAAGTACAAAAGATTCCACAGAGTTATTACCTTTTAGCCATTTGTTTTTGGTAACCTGTGGCCACTCGGGAACCAATCAACAGCTTGTAAAACTGAAATAGAAATATCAATGAATATATTCCAAATATATGTGGAATTAGTGTAATAGATACAAGTTGTTGCTCGCGACTTTATCGCTATATAATGGTGAAAGAATTTATAAAATCGGTCCAGTTGTTTTTGAATTATTTCAATACATACAAAAATCCAAAAATAAAAATCTTTTCTCTTTATAATATAAGTAAATACTAGCTGTTGCTCGCGACTTCGCCCGTTTGAAGTGAAAAAATTAAAAATAACATAGCCTATGTTACTCACAGATAAATTACCTTTCTAATGTTTTTACGTGCATCGAATACATACAAAATACAAAAATACAAATCTTCCATCTATACAATATTAGTAAAATATGTTATAGGTATAAATAAGAATTAATTTACTTCTTCACTGTGCAGATATCGCGGCAGTAACAACTTCTCCAACGCAGCGTGCGACTGCCGCGCAGCCTGGTACAGAGCGCGGCTGGTCTGAAGTCTGCAGAATTAAAAAGAAGTAGCCTATAACATTCTAGCATTCTTCAACTACCTTCTTGTAAGAGACTCATCAAAATTGGATTATCCGTTCCAGAGATTACAAGGAACAAAACAAACGCAATTTGATGACAATTACTTTTTAAATTGGGTTTTTGTTTGTTTTGTAAGTATTTAAGTTTGTTTGTGTAGTGTTTTTTTATCACAAAAGGTAAAACATCTTCGCTACTATTTACATCTATAATTTGTTATTTTAGTATAATGATATTCTTGTATTCGTTTTGCTATCTTTTGATCACGATACTTTGCTTGCATATTTTTTTAGACATATAACCAAGAAAGATGCAGGCACCCCGCATACAGTGGGAAAAGGACAGCGAACTGACTGTATGTCTCACTCGCGCACGTCCAGCGCTTAGTCGCGGCGACTATTGCTACATCCTGTATAGAGATAGCAGCATGTACAACAGTCTGTGTGTGAGAGAGATAGAATACAAAGGATATTGCGTCTCACGTGTAAACGTCCGTCTTGTAGGTCGCTGTGATCATTGCTATATCCACGATATATGTGATGAAGAAAGATAGCAACATATCCTATTATGTGTGTGTGAGGGAGATAAAATGCAACGAGCAGTGTATTTCACTCGGACACGCGCATTGCCTCCTATATAAATTATGTGTGTGACGGAGATAGCAACATGCACAACAGTGTGTGTGTGAGGGAGATAGACTACGGCGTGTATTGCGTCTCACGTGTGCACGTCGGCAGCTTGCAGGTCGCGGCGCAGGTCCCGCAGTAGTGCGCGCGGCACGGCGGGCGGCAGACGCACGCGCGCGCAGAGCTCCGCCAGTGCCCGCGCTTCACCCGCCAGCGCAGCACGCTCCGCGTCGCTCAGCTCCGGGTTTAACAGCGTACTTTGGAACACTTCTGCAACGCAACGATCTAACGTTTAACTTTGACTGACCTAGAAATTGTTATACTAGACTTGACTTCGATATTCTGGAATTAAAACGTAGCCTATATTCATACACCCATCCCAATTGCGATGATTTGTCTAATCGTTCTGAAGATTAGTAAAAACACAGTCTTATGAACAACAATACAGACAAACACTTTAAAACTAGGTTCATCATTGTTATCAAAGGAAATAATTTTGAACATTACATCCACACTGTAACACACACACTTTATTAATATTATAAATGTTAAAGTTAAATGGATGGATGTTAGAAGATATCTCCGAAACAGCACAACGGATCTTGATGAACTTGGTCACAGATGTAGAACCTAGTCAGGAACAACACATACGTCAAAACTATTTTAATTGAATATTTCTCACTAATGTCCTTATAGAACTGCAGCAGCTGCAGATGCCCAGCAGCCTTTAAGTGCTGCATCAGTGCGTACAGCTGGTCCTGCTGCGCCAGCACCGCCTCCACGTCCACCTGCAGCAGTCTGCTGCGCGCGCTGTACACGCACTCCGTCTGGCGGCTGAACGTCTCTAAGAACTCCACCTGGAGGATACAGGGCGTTAGGATACTGTTGGGCGATCGCCCAGGGCGTTAGACAGAAAAGGGCGTCACGAATCGTAGAATTACTAGGCTAATTTTCTGCGTATCTTTGAATGTTTTAGACTCAGACATGACGATGTTTTCTTGTACTGTAAATTATTCCAATAAATATTATGAAATTTTGAAATTAAGACCACTATAACACGGCGAGAATCGAACCCAGGACCTGTAGATTACAATTCTACTGTAAAATCATAGAAAAAAATTGTTTCAAATATGTCAGTGTATTTTACAATTGACAAAACTCTGCACAAATGTCACGGAATAATGTCTCGAAAATTTTCATGCTATGCTTTTTACACACCTTATAATTAGGAGTGGTGGGTAGTTCAGCCATCGTCTCATCGCTTGTAGCTAGTAAGATTAGTGCGTTCAGTATATAAGGGTCTGCTAACACATCTGTGAGTGACAATAACACCCAGCCTGCAAACACCTCACGGACCAACACTCGAAACACACTGGAATTAAATTAAAAACAAGATATTAAAATAATGCACATAAACAATAAGTATCTTCAATCCTACTATATTTTCGTCACTACATGAAGCAACAAAAATTAAATAATATATTTACATACAGAATATAATAAATCAGTGCGAGGCGCGACGTGACCGCAAACAAAAGTTAATTAATACTCGCCCTGAAGAAGGACCCCCGAAGGGTCCAAAACTAGTTGGTGCCGTCACCGGAGGATAAAAGCATGAGTTGAGCCGTTTTTTATTAATTTTCAAAATAAAATAAGTTATATTTTTACTAGTCAAGATAAGTAATATAAACCCATATCGCGGTAAAATATATAAAACCTTTTAATACATATAGTTTCCTCAGTTCTAATGGTTCAACTGACAGTAACAATTTTATATTTTAATTGAAACAAGTCTACAATCAAAATTGTTAAAAATTTGTGGATTTACTGGATTTTAACTGTGATGCAATAAAGACAACGTATTGAATAAACCATTACTCTCCATACAATTCAAGTGAAATCATGTCAAATGATACGCCATTCAAAACTAATTAACACTACATACTTACGAGTTATTCGTCTCATTGGGCTGTAGTACCAATGGTAATAACACTTCAGTTAGCGATCTTAAGTATTTCATCTCCGCAGCACGGTTGCATGCGGCCACATGGAGCGCGGGCCGCGCGCCGCTCGATGCCACCGCATAGTGTCGGAGTGCACACGGCACTAACCTCTCCATGATTAGACGAGCATAGTCTATCTAGAAAATGAAGAAAAAAACATTCATGCCTCTAGATAGAGATATTCTGATCTGCAGTTCCTCTGGTATTGCAGATTAGGGCCTGTCCCACCAAATTGTCTGAGAACAATCCAACATGCAAAACATGTAATATTGGATTTTGTTTCCTTATCTGACAGTTTTTAAGCTATCTGAGTCTCTATCATCTAGTAGTGGGACAGGCCCTTATTATTGATTACTGCTACATCAGCTGTTATGCCTGGTTTATGGCCAGTAAGTTGGAGCATTGTTACTCAATGGCATCAATTTGTGTTCACTTTATGCCAGAACAGTTACTAAGGAATACTATCCAACTGTACTGGCTAAGTGTGAACCAGACATTATATAATCCCACCAAAGGACTAGAAGGTCTCAAGTCACTTTTCACACGAACCTTTATGAATCTCAATACATAAAAAAAAAAAACTGTTTTTTGACCTTATCTATATTAGGTTTTGTTTAACTCTATTTTACAGTTACTAAAAGTCATGTATTTTGTTTTTAATAAGATGTCATGATATTACATAAATTTCTTCATCTAGTGAATATTACAAAATTGTCATATTTACCTTCAGAGCTCTTTTCAACAGATTAGCAGACGCATATCTCAGTTGTAATCTCAACTCATCAATAAAAAATGGTTGTAGAGTTATCTTACTGTACCAAGAGTTTACAAATTGGTCTAATATAGCATTGTAGAACTGAAATAGATAAATGAGATAAAATTAGCTCAGTTTTTACCTTAATTAAGTTAATTAAAATTGTTTTTAACTTAATTCAAATTTAATACACAAAGTTTACAGTTATATATATGACAAGACATGGGTCTTTTACAATTAATATTTTGAAATTAACAGTAAAAAAATGTGTTCTTACATCTTCTATGGCTTGGTCCAATTGTTTATGTATAAGTAACCCACTCCATGGCTCTGGTGCCACATCTGGATTATGGCGGGAACAATCTTTGGATCCACATGTCTCACAACCCTGTAATCAGGAAATAATATTTAAATTGATGATTTTTCTATCATAATATGTTTATCTCAGGAATTACAAATCTTAGTTGAAACTTTCTTTAAGGGAGAACATAGGCTTCAATATTATCATGGCCTTACGGTGACCAGTGAATTGATGAATCAGTCACCGAGAGTGTTAAGTTTATAAAAGTAACTTGACAGCTTACTTCGTCTGAAGAAACTTCGTCTTCTTTATCTAACGGCTTATTGACAAAATGGCACGTCAATTGATACACATAACTGTAGAGAATGTTTGAACTTAATGCGTAATAACAAACCAAACATCCCAACACATAACTTACTAAAATTGTGATTAAGTGAAATCTAAAAACAAAACAAAGTGGGTTAGTGATATTATGTTTTGAAAACATACAAATATGTCGATTTCTTTTGAAAGCTAAACCTGTAAAAATATAGCACACCCAGCAGAATTCCAAATATACCAATAATAAATATAAAATATTTTGGTTTATCAATTTTTTTCGTAAACTTCGTTTGACATCCTTCAGTCATGGTTGAACTACAAATGACAGTGACATTTAAGTTTTTGTTATGGTGTTTATGGAAAGTTCGCATAACGAAAGAAAAAATGACTTCCATGATCAGCAAAATACTAACTAATAACTTATAATATATTCATTAATATAAACGGTCATAATGTAATGCACACGAACATATTACGTTATAACTTTAAGGTTTTATAGACCTACTCACCCTATACAGAAGCAAGACACTTGACTTTGGGGCGTTTTAATTTATTTTCTTTATTTACATTAGAGCATTAAAATGTATTACTTACCCAATGATTTCTTTACTTATCATATCACATAATTATGTTAATGCAGGTTTTCAATATTACCCAAACAATATAACAGCTTGGTTTCAATCCTGAAGGTAAAAACTATGACGGTTTCTAAACTAGGTTGAAACTATCAGTCGATCAATGCTCGATTTTGAACCTTATTGCCTATGTCACTTTGTCTTTTTGGCAGGTTATCATTGTTCATTATCAGTTAACCTAAAACTGATTGTAAAATTGTATAATTGATAATTTATGAAATAAAAGATAAAAATATAAAAGACAAGACAGCATTATCGAATTTGTATGCTTGTCGCAGTAAGTATACAAAAATTTAACAAATACCTTGTACGTTCGCGAGTTTCTTGTTTGTTATGAAGTCGTGAAGATGAAATCTTCACTAACCTCATATTTAAGTTCAGAGTTCATTTTATCTATATGCGGCCAATGACGGCCACTTATCTCGAACTTAATAGCTATGATTTGTCTTCACTGCACATTGTAATTAATCGTTCTGACGAGTGCAAGAGTGCACATACTGTTATCAAGGTGAACATTTTATTTGTTGAATAAATCGCATTAAAAACTTACATTACTGTGTCTGCATTGAATACATCAATAATAAAATTTAATTTTATATTTTAGTTACAATGGTGCTGCAAAGATATTTGCTTAGTGCAACAAGACAGTTTACAAGGAGAAGATTACAAGACTCATGTAGACAAACGTTTTGCGAACTTCGTTACTCTTCATCTGCTGGAAGGAAGTACACAGATCGACATGAATGGGTGGTTGTTGACAAGAATATCGGTACAGTAGGTATAAGTAACTATGCACAAGAATCTCTCGGAGACATAGTCTTCGCGCAACTACCTGACCCTGGCAGTGAAATAAAAGCAGGAGACGAATGTGGGGCTTTAGAAAGTGTTAAAGCGGCAAGTGAAATATATTCACCAGTTACTGGTACAATAACAGAGAAGAACAGTGAAGTTGAAAATAAACCAGGTCTGATAAACACATCATGTTTTGAAAAAGGATGGCTCTTCAAATTGAAATTAACGAAACCAGAGGAATTAAATGAATTAATGAATGAAGAGCAATATGAAAAGTTCCTTAAAAGTGATGCGGAAACTGACCATTAATTATTTTTAAGTTGTTGATTTTTTTTGTTATAATCTTTAGTTGTTATGAAAAGATATATGATGTAGAAATCTCAGTGTAGTTTTTTCTTCTAACCTACGTCATTGAATTTTAAGGCAATACAATTCTAATTTGTGGATTTTATTTTAGTTTTAACATGATTATCATGTTTACAGTTGTTACCTAATCAAAATTTGTCCATACTTAAAGTTTGTGGAAAATTCCATTATGTATGAAGTATTCTATTTTATTCATCACAGATAAAATATAAATACCATACAATGATTAAAAACAGTAAACAGTTCAGAAATAAAAAACGATTTATTTTTGCAAAGTGCTTTTATTAATAATATTTATTGCTTTAGTGTACAATAATTAGTGACTAATTATAATATGGCAACATACATGACTTGAATACATTTGTACCAAAACTCCATGATTTTAGAACAATGATAAAAACTTTAATAAAACACAGACAAATTGAGAATCTTTAATGACTTCCAATTTTATTAGAAGTTCCTTTACCTTGAAAAATCAAAGAAACTTCCAACAAAAGAAATATAACACCTAGGCTTTTCAGTGATACTTTTGCTAAGCAGAAAAAAAAATTGAAAAAAACCAAAGTGATACAATCAAAATATAAAAAGTTACAAAACCCTTACATTGTAATAAAAATATGACAAACTTATAACAACAAAAGGAACTTAAAATCACTTAATTTGTTTTTACTTTTGTCATGCTAAGTTTCAACTGGAGTCATCTTCATCAGTCATTCTAAAGTACATAAAAATACTTTACTAATAACATAACATCTACTTACACAATTATTAATAACACATATAACAGTTAACTTCCAAATAACTGGTTATTTCAGGTAAGTTAAATATTTGATTTTTAAAATAAATTTAAACAACCACGATGAGATCATTTTGACATTTTTCTAAATTCGCTTTCGTGTCTTTTTAGTTATCTAAATACATTTATATGGTTGAATAAAATTGAAACATAATACTTATCATATTTGGATCTGAAATTACATAGTCAACTTTATCTCACTTATGTTAAAATCTAAAATGAATTTAAAAACATATAAATAGTAATTACATAATTTAAATTAGACATTCACATACTAACTGATGTATTGTCTACAAAAATACAGATTTTTGGGGCAATATTAATATTGCAAATACAAGAACTTAACACTTATATATTGTTATTCACATAAAACATGTAAACTAGGTTCTGAGTTGTACATGGTTTATGTGAGTGTTTCGGCTATGTAAACTCTAATTCAATCTATACGAAACCCTTTCTCTACACTATTAAAAACAGCTATATGACTTTTTAGTAATTAATAGATTAACATGTTTATGTATATTTAGAAAATTTTTTTTATTAAATTCTATTGTAACATCATTATAATGATTGAATTGAAAAATAAAATAGCTTTTATAACTATTTTATTAATTTGACATTTTGTAAATCTTTATTAATCTTGTCCTATTCTAGTTAATCTTAAATACAGGGATAGTAACATCTAATTATTAAAAATTCAATTTCAAATATTTTGCATATCATATAAATTTAATTGACAATATTTTAGAATGTCATTAATTGATATAAAATGTGCAATTCCTTTATAAATTGATTTTAAGTAAAAAAATCTTCAAACGCTACAAGATTATGTTCAAAAGACAACTCAAAAATATTTTTACTTATACAAAAACAACCAACCCGCAGTGGGCCAACGTGGTTGACTATGGCCACCCCTTACTTAGGGTAGGACACGAGCCCCTCGGTGGGGACGTATAGTGAGCTGGTGATGATGATACAAAAACATTAAGGAACATTTTTCAATATTTTCACTGGCAGTGTTCAAAGGATGTTTAGATTTTTCTCGTAAAGAATTCTATATTGTTTATTAAAATTTATAATTTCAAACCAGCTTAGATAAAATTTTTGGAAGCACTCAGACAAAGAAACACAGTCAACATAGGACAATATTTAAAAATTAAATTAAAAACTATATTTTTTCCATTAATAAATGTGCTTAGAAGCTAAAATGTGTTAATTATATTTAGAAAGTTACATTACTATAGAATAACAATATATTTTATCAATAAATTTAGTGATAATTGCAAATAAAAATTAATATACGACATAATTATTGCATAAAGCAAAAAAGCTAAGAAAATAACACTGAAATCAGGATTCTCAGCATAAAAATATTAAAGAGTGTGTATTAGTTAGAATATTGTCAAATAAATTGTAGCTTAAACACGTCAACTCTTTTGTACTGAAACTGGCCCTAGTTTCAGTACAAAAGAGATTTTCAACAAATCATAGCTTTAAAAACATGCAATATTGATCAATAAATAATAAAGTATATAGAAAACAGATAATACATTAATTAAATATATAATTAGCAATCCATAGTGTTACGTGAAAATATACTGTAAATATTCTTTGATAATTAGCTTTTTAATTTGTGACATGTTTTATGATTTTTGATACTCTTTGATTGTTATATAGAATAGGTTGCTATGGTTATGTTGGTTTGTTAAGTCAGAACTTAATAAATATAGTTAAGAAGTTATCAAATCGTTTCAATTCGCAAAAATTGGTGTCAGGTGTGGGGTATGGACACACAGTGATTATTGAATGATTTCAAAGTGGTGGAGCTGCAAAATGAATTGGAGGAAAGGGACTTGGACGCAAGCGGTAAAAAAAACGAACTAAGACGGAAACTCAGGGCCGCCTTAGAGGAGGAAGTTACTATTTTGAAATTCCTCCGGCCGTTCCGACGGAATTTTGATCGGAAAATTGGTGGAGATGGAAGAATCATCTAAACGGTTTAAGGAAGTAAGGAGATGGTGAAATTCAAAAAAGAATATTTACAGTATATTTACACGTGACAATATATATCTTATTATTATAAAAGCGATTAAACAATGTCTATATTTTGTAATACATTTAGTTCTTAGACAATTTATCTTGCACGTTCCATTGTACATGTATTGGTTCGTTTAGACGTAAATTAATATTGAAAATTACAAATATTTGTGTGTTACCGGTATAAGAGTATTCGCAGAGAGGTTCCTTACAGGGTTGTTGGTTGACAGTGACATTTTTGATTGGCAACTTCTGTCCGAAGATTGTTATTTTGTTGATAGATGGCATCCCGTATGCCCACCATTGCAGTTCACTGCGGAACTCTTGTTTATCCAATGTGAAATGTATTAAACTGTATTTACTCTCATCATATGTCTCTGTAAGAAAGGAAATTTGATTAATATTAATGTTTGAAAAATCCCAAAAACAACAATAAATATCAATAGATTTTAAATGAGAATATAGGTAAAAATCTAAAACATTGGAAAAATACATATGCATTTTTAAATTCTTTGCAGTTTCTTGTGTTCTGTGGGACGGGGGCCTGGTGACCAAACAGGGTACCCTAGTTTGGACACCAGTCCCCTTCTTAAAGGGGAAAAGTTTTTTTTGAATCTCGCTGTCGTATTCACTCACGTAATCCAAGTCCATCATCCCAGTACAGCATGGCGCGTGCGTGTCCAGTGAGGTCCGGCGCGGCCAGCAGGTGCAGCGGCCGCGTGCGACATTCCCGTGTCGATACCACGCCTGCGCCCGGCTCTTGTAATGGTAAAATACCACCTCCCTGGGAATAAATCATACTAATATTATAAATGTGAAAGTTTAGATGGATGTTTGTTAGATGGCTCAACGGATTTCGATTAAATTTGGTATGGACTTTTGTTTTTTTTTTTATTCCAAGGGGACAAAAGCTAGCATGAATATAAAAACATTTAAGTGCAACTATATAACATTATATTATTATAAATATGATTACATGGATGTTAAAGTTTGTCTTCCGAATGTAGAACACTCTGGAAAAACACATTGGCTACTTAATATTTTTTTTAATTCTCTGCGGACGGAGTCGCAGGCAAAATCTAGTAGATTCATACTCCAAACGATAAAAATGAATTAGAAAAAACGCTATGACTAGTAGTAACCCGAATGACGGGTTCTAATGGATAAAACAGCGCCATCTATTGCCTGCATTTCAAAACAAAGATTCCAAAACTTCAAATATTTGAATTCAAACTGAATACTTGGAAAGTTTGAATGGGAATTTTTCCCATTGGAAATTAAAATGCATATAATCTACCCAACGGGAAAAATCGGGAAACACCCAATAAGAACCTAAACAACTATTATAATTTGTAGCATTTCATATTAATTTATATAAATATTACCTTGACAGCTAGCATATGTTGTTCTGTGACATTCCTCCAGCCGGGTGTCATAAGTGTGCCATCGAGGCCGTACCATATCCCCGCGGGGAAGTATGCGCGTGCAGAGCTGGCCCCGGGCCACAGTATAGGAGACACCAGCAGGTACGGTCCGATCAGGAACTGAGTATCTATGTCGTGTGTTACTGTGTCACTTGGATCACTGTGGGAGATAGACTTAATATTTATTAATAAATTACATAAAAAGGCAGATATTAAACATGTGTTTTAACACATATGATGAACGATATTATGGATGTCAAAAGTTATGTTTCACTACTAACATTTATCAACGACCTTCTTTCTATATCATTATAAGTACATTATTTTATTGGTCAAATCTAAATAACGTATAATAGTGTTTCAAAAGGCGACAATTTGTTAAAAATCACCTAGCGTTATAAAATGGTTAATATATGTTAAATCTAAAATGTATTTGAAACAAAAAGTTTTTCATGGTAAAGTTCTTGGTGATTATTCGACTTATGGGCGGTTTCCGAACTACTTTTAACCATTCGGTAGTAATTATGGTTCGATGAATTTATAAAATGCGGCTCCAAACTTGTAATTTTACTCCATTGAAACATAGGTTAACGTAGTGCTAATGAATCACTCAGTAATGATAAAATAAATGGAAACTTCAGAAACCCAGCATAAATATGAAAAACCTAAAATTAACAATTAAAATAATCATTAAACAATATTTAAAACATGTACATCATTATACATAAAAATTAGAACAGACCATATAAAAATATACGTTTTCAAATTCAAAAGGCGTTTTTGGTTCGGTTCTTGAAATATTCTTAGGTTTTATTATACTTACTCGAAGTATAACGGTCGGGCAACTAGTTCGCCGTGCAGATGTGCCCTCCAGAACAGCGTGTAGTAGTAGGGCAGCAGCGAGTAGCGCGTGCGCAGCGCGGCGCGGGACGCACTCACCACCTCCGCGCCCAAACTCACTGGGTCTTGTGGCTGGAATATACAATCTATATTAATATTATAAAGCGTAAACACACACTTCTTTGTTGCCTAAGATGTCAGCAATCACTGCATATTTTTGAATAATTATTTTTTTAATAAAAACCCCTACACTTACGTCACGCTTTAAGCTATATATTTTCACGCCTTTAAACTTAGGGGGTAAATATTTTGGATAAAAACCCTAATGTCGAAAAGAGACCATAAGTTGCTGCCAACATCAAGAAAGCAAGGTGGTTTGTCGTCGTCATGTCATTTTGACATTTGCAATTGATAATTTGACACATGTAAACAATAAAATAAAATTTTCATAATTTTTGCGGATGAACTCGCAGGGGAACAGCTAGTTATTGATATTATTACCATACCCTAGAAGGGTCTAGTTAAGGGGGTACCCAGGTAGGAACCCCCGTAGGGGTTACTATCTAGGTAGGTACCCCCTAAGGGGTGACTAGGCTAGAATTGACGAGTTCATGCCGGAGGACTGATTTTAGTCCCTTTCTTCTCCTACCATTTGATATATAACAAATATTACAGGTTGGAACTAAAATTAGAACTCCGGGACGCATTTTGTAAATATTCAGTTTTAACCATAACTAATAACCTATTGGTGATTACAAGTCTGTTTTAACACCTGAGCTACCTTCGCTCTTCTTAAGATCGAGTCAAAGAAAATTATTCACTACATTACTTATGTAACAATATGCAAAACGATTATAACGGTAAGACTATTAGAAAACATGTAAAAATGAAATAAGCATTGAAAATTATACAAAACTATCTGTTCCCGTGCGATTTCAGCAGCATAAAATTATTTTATTGTTATATGACATGTGTTAAATTGTCAATTGCAAATGTCAAAATGACATGACATGACAAATGCTGGTAATCTTGCTTCCTTAATGTTGGCAGCAACTTATGATCTCTTTCTCACATTGGGGTTTTTATCCAAAAAATTTACCCCCTAAGTTTAATAGCGTGAAAAATATAGCCTGAAGCGTGTCGTAAGTGTAGAGCTTTTTATTAAAAAGCGAATTATTCAAAAATATGCTATGATTGCTAACATCTTAGGCAACAAAGTGTGTGTTAACGCTTTATTATAATTATTATTATATTATACAAAATTGAAGTACTAGGATATGACACTTTCTTTCTATTACATTTTGTTTTCCTGTATACTAACTGGGTTAAATGAATTTATCACTTCTGTCAAGTAACATACTAAACTCAAAACTCATGTATGTACTATTAGATAAAAAGTGGTAACCAAATTAAATTCCCTGTCTATAAACATTTACCATAGAAGTATCGGAGTTATGATTCCTGGAGAATGGATAGAAGGCTCCGAGCTGCATCCAGCGCTTGCAGAGCTCCACCGTGGTGTTGCCGCGGAAGCCGCAGATGTCCGCCCCCATCATCGGGATGCCGAATAAACTGAAGCTCAGCATCTCTGAAACAATGTTATGTCTATAATTAATATTATAAAAAAGGAGTATCTTTTTATTTATTGAAATAATTTATAAACTATTGGAAAGATTACGATTTTAATCTTACCTTTTCTTACTTATTATTATAAATGCGAAAGTTTAGATGGATGGATGGATGTTTGTTTGTAGTCTAAACGGCTGAACAGATTTTGATGAAATTTCGCACAGACGTTGAGGGTAGCCTGGTTTTTTAAACTCCACGGGGATGCAGTCGCGGGCGAAAGCTAGTATACAATATATAAATGTGAAGGTTTGGATGTATGGATGTTTGTATATTTCGTAAACCTAAACTGATTAACGGATTTCGATGAAATTTCTCACAAATATAGAACAAAGTCTGAAAGAAGACACAGGCTATTTGCTACATTTTAATTCGACGAAAACGGAATCGTGGGTCTAAGCTAGTTACGACATTGTTATATCAAAAGGTGGTAAACAAGCAAGCAGCCTGAATTCGCCAAAATAGCGAAGCAATCTCTACCTATACACATCCGTGATTTCCAATGTGTTTGCTTCTGTTAACCTATGAAGGAGGGGACGCATAAATTATTTCCTCTTCCTAAGCATCCCTTCCTTCAAACCTCTCCCCTTCCCTTTTCTGATAAAAAAAGGTGGCAAGGGTAAGAGACAAAAAAGGATCTACTTTTGTGTTGTTATTAGCGTCTATGGCTTTAAACGCACCTGGAATGCTCATCCTCATATCATGCCAGCTGCTGTCCACATCCCCGCTCCAGTGGCCCGCGAACCGTCCCAGTCCGGGGAACGACGCCCGCGATATTATAAACGGACGACTGCCGCGGATCTCGACTAAGGCACTGGAATATATTTTTAATAATAATTTTTAAACAAGAAAAAATAATAAAAACATGTCTTTAACCAGAAAAATAGAAAACCACACCATGAGCGTAATTTATTTAACAGATATCGATGTTTGTTAAAACACTTTTTTTAAATTCCTTTTTTCACGATACAATATAAACATAAATAATTATAATAAAAGTGTCTAAAAACCCATTTCGGGTTTATCCATACATTACGGTATAAAATATAACATTAGCTTATTTAAATAGATTTAGGGTCTGTCCCACTACTGGCTGATAGAGGCTCAGATAGCTTAAATATGACGACACTGTCAGATAAGAGAACAAAATCAGATATTTCCATCACAAATGATATTTTATACATTGGATTGTTATCAGACATTACATTTTTACAATATTTATTTCATATACAGGGTGTACAAATTTTATTCGACTTAGAAATAAAAATCTTTCTTTTTAAAATGATTATTCTACTACAGTAGAACCTTAGTAACATAAAAACCTCTATAACTTCAAAAAATAATATGTTCCCTTCCCAACAGAGCATAAATCCTCCATAACATAGACCCTTGATAACTTAAAACCTTTATAACTTATAATATTTTGTGTTTCCCTTAGATTTTAACTTATCGAGGTTATACTTTACTTACTAATGAAGCGTTACAATAAAAAAATATACATACAAATGTGTAGCGATAGCTTCAGTAAGTCCATACAAATTGTGCCATTGGAAATGTTTCCCAGCATAATGTTGTGCGTCCATACAAAGTGTCTTATGTTTCAATCCATTGGTAAGATAATGAGGTACATATGGCAAATCTTCTGGAGCACATTGACCGTACAAAGAACCGGAAACGAAGTTTGATGGTTCGTTCATATCCTGTTATATGTTAACATAAATATATCAGAATTTTATAGTTGAACAAATAATTAAAAAAAATGTATAAAACTAACAATTTTCCATGTCAAATGTCAGCATGTTTTTGAATAATTTCTTTTTTAGAAAAAGCCTTATGCCTTACACTTTAGGCTATATATTTTCACACTATTGAACTTAGGGGTAAATAAATTGAGAGTTTGAGTGCCGAAGGTTCCGGTGTGTTCCTTGGAGATCCCGGAACCTTCGTCAATCTCACTAGAGGATGGCCACCGAGGGGGTTTCAGTAGGTGAAATCCTACGTAACCCTGCCTTCCAGAAGGCAGGGTATCTTTTGAAGATCCCCCCCCCCCGACACCAAAAAAAAGGGTAAATAAATTGGAAAAAACTTTATGTGGGAAAAGGACCATAAACTACAAGCTGCCAACATCAAGGAAACAAGATTACTGGTAACGGTAATTGGTATCCAATGTCAAACGAATTCGATATCATTTGTGCATTTAAATTTTAACATTTGCAATTGAAAATTTGACAAATTTAAACAATAAATAAAGTTTATACTACTTACAATCCAAGCGCCATCGTATGGTATCTTTTTATGGAAGTTTGACATCATTTGGGTCCAATACATTGTGGCATTGGGGTGCGTAAAGTCCGGCCATACCGTTGACACTTTATTCCAAACCTGGAATAAACAACAAAATTAAAAAAAAAAACAATTTAACAAGCTTACTCCTTTTAGAATTTTTTTCCACTAAGAATAACAACTATTATTATAATGAGTGTGGTGAGTAAAGTGTCTTTTCCACTAGCGCAATTATAATAATAATCGTGCGACTAATAAACCAGTGAAAACTTTTCTTTATGTTATTTTTTAAATTTAATTACATCTAAATCTTTCTCACCTTTCCCACAAAAGGTTGTCCGGTTGAATTCTTAATGAAAATGTTCATTTCAAGTCCCTTATCAAAAGGTGGGTAAGTACCCAATTTCTCTGCAGCGCTCACTCCGGGATCTAAATACGTAGACATGAAGAAAAAAAGATATTTATAATAACAAACACATTAATAATAAATGAACTTAGTATTAGTATTGTTTGAGTCATCGGATTCCGCAGCCGGTGGTGCTCTATTTTTTATATAATACATTTTTTTTTTATTTTTATATCAAATGTAATTTAAAATGTATTGTATAAAAAATAAGAAATAAAGATATATGGATAATAATAATAAACTTAGTATGAAAAAGAATGAAAAATACTTTGTTTACTGAAATTTTTTTTTTCAATGTCTTCTTAAAATAAATTATATTTTGGTATTATTTTTAATTTGTGTACGAATGAAATGTGATTAAATTCTCACCAAACAACACCATATAATGCATCCCAGCATCATGTAATTCCTTCACAAACTCCGGTAATCCTTTAAACTTGACATCATCATATGTAAAATCATTTCCATCTTTCATATAGTCTAGATCGTTCCACTGCACGTCCTATTGAAATACATAGTCTATAGTATATATTTATTTATTTTGCTTCCGCGACTCGGTAAAATAGAATAAAAAAAAACAAAATAGTCAGTCCTACCAAATTTATTGTCTAATAACAATCCGTGTAAAATATGTGATGGAAACATCGGATTTTGTTATCTTATCTGACAGTACCGTCATTTTTAGCTATCTGAGCCTCTATCAGCCAGTTGTGGGACAAAACCTAAGTATCCTGTTTTGTTATTCCAGACTATCCTCTACATCTACCTATAAAAATTTTATCGAGATCCGATCAACGGTTTAGCTTTTTTGTAGTTACAAGGTATCTATACTAATATTATAAAAGAGGACAGATTTGTATTTCAAAACTACTGGACTGATTAAAAAAATCTTTTGTAATTAGGATGATACATTAACTCTGAGTGACGTTTATTATTACGTATTTTTTTATTCCGCGTAGACGAAGTCGCAGGTAAAAGCTAGTCTTACGATAAAGACATTAAAGTTGGATGATTTATGCAATATTACAAAGAAAACTTGCAAATTAACTTACCAATGGGATTCCAGCATCTCTATTACTTTTCCATACATCTCTAGTTACTTGTAGACTGCCGTAGTTATATCTGGAATGGTAAATACATTTTTGAACAAAACGTCTACACTGTGTTTCTTAGTATTGTGTCTTTCTAATTCCACGCGAGCGGAATCGCGGGCGAAAGCTAGTTATCAATATTGTGTAAACTTAATAGATGTATTAGCTTTCGCCCGCGACTTTGTCCGCGTGGAATTAAAAAAAAACGAAAATGTGTTGCCTATGTGTTCTTCGAGACAATCCTCTAAGTCTATGCCAAATTTCATCAAGATCCGTTCAACCTTTTAGGCTACAAACACTAAGAAACATCCATCCATCCATCAATGGATGGAGGATAGTCTGGAAGAACACATAGGGTACTTTTTTTGTTTTTTATAATTCGACGCGGACGGAGTCGCGAGCGAAAGCTAGTATGCATATATATGTAAATGTAGATGTATCACTAACTTGCAGAGATGGAAGCCGAGCCCCCAGTAGGGCGGCATGAAGGGCTTGCCGACGATCTCCGTCAGCTGCGACGCCACGTCCGCCGCCGCCGGGCCCAGGAATATGTAGAAGTTCAGCAAACCCCCGATTGTACGGTAAGTTATCGCCGGCGTCGGCTGTACCACCACATCTGGTACACATAAATAAAACTAATAGAAATCCCATAAAAACACATAAAATAACAGCTTATACCGCGTCAAATTAAAAAAAAAAACAATAAAAAATAAAGCCTATGTCACTCACAGATAAATTACCTTTCTAACGGAGAAAGAATTTTTAAAATTAGCCCAGTAGTTTTTGAGTTATTTCAATACATAAATTAATGAAAAAACAAGTCATATATTGTACACATAAATCAGACACATTTATAATACTAAAGGCCTGTCCCACCACTAGCTGATAGAGATTCGGTTAGCTTAAAAATGACGTCACTGTGATAAGGGAACAAAATCTAAATTTCCATCGTACATATTACACATTGTATTCTTATCAGACAACAATTTGGTGGGACTGGCCCTTAAATGTAATAACACAGACTTCTTATATACACTATAAATCTATATACAGACCTATAGCATGCGAGTTTATAAGCAATGTGCCGTGCGCTTTGCCGTCCGGTTCTAACGCCAAATAAAACGGCTGACTTCCATACAAATTCGTCTGCAAATACAAAAATATCACAAATTACTCACTAAACTTTAAAATTTAAATATCAAGTAGCTTTCGCCCACGACTACGTCCGCGTGGAATTAAAAAAACAAAAGTAAGTAGCCTATGTGTTCTTCCATACTGTCCTCTACATCTATACCAAATCTCATTAAAAATCCGTTCAGCCGTTTTGGCTACAAACTTTGACATCCATCCATCTAAACTTTCGCATTTATAATATTAATATGAAGTATAATTACTTTATATAAATAATGCGAAAATTCTTAAATAAATCAAGTAAAGTATCGCTTACAATTTAACAGATGTCATAAATTCCAAGGAATTTTGGAGTTTAAGACCTTATTATTTTAGACACTATTACTTAATATTAAAATGTAGTTTGAATATCCCATAAGAATTGTTTATAGTCCATTTATAAGAAATTTTAGAACTACCAATTTTAATTTATTTCTCAGAAACATATATTTTCACATTATGAAACTAAATAAATTGGAACAAACTAAAAGCCGCCAACATCAAGAAAGCAAGATTGTCATGGTACGGTAATTGGTCAAATGTCAAAGGCCTAGTCATTTGTGCAATTGAGAATTTGACAAATGTAAACAATAAAATATTATTTTTATAATTTAATGCGGATGAACCCACGGGAAAAGCTAGTGTTCATAACTTACATTTTCAACAGGTGCCTGATCTGAGTTAAACATAGTAAATGTCTTCCAATCATTCAATTCAGTTCTGAATCGAGCCCGTCTCTCTCCCAGACCGTATATCTGGTTGGTGGGCAATAACGATGAAATCTGCAGAAATTTATCCGATAATATCAATCCACCTACATCTTGAGTGTTAAATCTGGAAAATATAAGAAAACAGTTAGGATTTTACAGCTGAATAACACAATAATCAATCCGAGGTGCAATTTGTAACATGATACAAAAATATCACAAGCGCAATTTGGATATAGATCAAGTTTTTCCAATGTCAAAGAAAAATGCAATAAATCGAATTGTATTTGACAGAATAGAGGAAAGGGAAATATCTACATTCTTTCCGTCTCCTCCTCTGTCGATTAAAGGTAGACTTGCTATTTCGGTGAATTCTAAATTCTATACTAATATTATAAAGAGGAAAGATTTGTATTTTTGTATGTCTTGAAATAACTCAAAAACTACTGGATCTATTACAAAAATTCATTAAAATAACATAGACTATGTTAATTCCACGCGGAGCCGCGAGCAACGGCTAGTTTCATATATACAGATATACTTACACAGTAACATTATCAGAGAGACGGATAACTTTGAATCCGATACTTGAACTTTCAAGTACCATTTTGTATTTCATTGTCTTGATAGAACCATACACCATTGGAATCTCTGGATACTGGGCTTCGAACCTTGGATTTTCTGCATCAGTTATCTGGAATAAAAATAAATATCATATATAAATATAATTTCATCTCAGGAAAAACTAAAGTATACATGGTCAGTTTAGAAATATCAAAGAAAACTTTCTACAACATAAGGGCAAAATGATCATATATTTATTTTATTAGTGTTAGAACGGAATCCTATTTACTTACTAAGGTACTTTTTAATAGCATTAAACACATTATGTGACAAAAAATCTATACATATAATAACATTAGAGTATCTGTATGTATTTTGAAATTAATGATTGGAACCGACCGATATTGGCAGTATTTTCACTGGAAAGTGATGGATATGATTATATATTTTATTTTTAAATTCTACACTGAATAAGTTGCATGCGACTGGCTTTTTTTTCTCTAGCATGAAAGCCTGAGACTACAGCAACAGTATTGAAATTATAGACATTATTAAAATTAAATCTAAAAAAAATGAAATCTTACTTCTTACTAATATTATAAGTGCAAAAGTTTGGATGGATAGATCAATGTTTGTTAGAGTTTGCAGCTTAAATGGCTAACCTAATCTCGATGAAATTTGGTATAGATGTAGAGAATAGTTTGGAAATATACGCTACTTACTTTTATTTTTTTTAATACCACACCGACGAAGTCAAAAGGTGGTATAAAATAAAATATAGGATAGTATAAATGAACTATGATAATAGAACTGTTATTTCATTATAAATACCTTAGCATTAATAATATCTCCAGTAACAAACATTATATCAACGCGGACCATACGAAAGTCTCCTGGGTAGCCGGAGGGGCGATTTAGCGCAAAGAACGCTGTCACACCGCGTTTATTCTCCGTCATGTTGTAGAACTTATATGTGTCGTAATGTGGTGGGTAGAAGCAGTATGGCGCGCCTTGTATATTAGTTGACCTCCAGCAACAACCTGCAAGATGAAATTATGTCTAAAACTTTCTTCAGTGAAAGCAAACTTATCTGGCTAAGGTCCAGTCAAACAAAACACAGTCGAATCTTAAGCGAGAACTGGATATATGAAAGATCTAAAGGCAGTTAATGTCTGGTTTGTTGGACAACACGATAAATGAGAGATTAGAGAAAAACCTTTTTGGGCGAAAAAAAAAATATCGCAGTCCCTTGAACTTTCGTTTACTTCGATTGTAGATAAAACTTAGGTTAAAATAAAAACGGACACACAGACTAAGCTTCAGAATATCAAGGATATTGTGTCATTTAGGCATACTAATATTATAAAGGGGAAAGTTTTGTATATTTGTATGTATTGAAATATCTCAAAAACTACTGAGCCAAATTCAAAAAATCTTTCATCATTGAAACGCTACGTTATCACTGAGTAACAAAGGCTATATTTCTTAATTTTACGCGAGCAAAGTCGTTAATAAGTTGTTAGCTTTTTAATTAGTTCTGATGTATTCTGTATTTTTAAAAGTTATTTGTTAATCTGTGCTATTTATCAATACATTTATCTTTATTTAAAACAACAATATTGTTAGGAAAATATTAGGAAACGGAAGGAATAGTGAGTAGTTTTATAAAATATATGGCAAGCAGTGGCTCGCGCTCAGTCGCAGTCTCGGCGCTCAGTCGCCAACAAGCTCAGTGTTTTACTAGTCGTCACAACGGCACGTTCGATATATTTGCGTTGTCGCATTGGAGTTCAGTTTGTGTGTTTTAAAGTAATTTACAAGTATTGTTAATATGGCCGTCCGTCTATATTTTAAAGGAAGTCATTTGTGGAAATATCTAACAAAATAAAATAAAAATAAAATATGAGTATAACTAACCTCTTTTCAAGCAACCTTCTTCATTTGCACCCGCCTGCGGGTAACAATCAAAACGCATATTATCCGTTACATTCGAACACATATTCCGCAGCATCTCTGGGGTCCTCTCTATATACTTTGTCTGCGGTGCCTCAGTTGGTACTTGTATAGGTTTAGGACGCATCAAACGTTGGTATTTCTCATCCTCTAATGGCGTCTTTCTAGAACCTTCTGAACCATTGAACTTGTTCTTTGTGCTCAAGTTGTTGTGATCATGGTAATGAACTTCCGGAACAACCTAAAAGTATATTTAATAACATAATTATAATTTCTCTTTAGTTAAGACATTTATGTCAGTTTGTTCTACTTACCATTTCATAGTATGTCATAGGTCGCTCAGTGTTTTCAGGGTGAACTCGTTGCCATAATTTTCTGTAGAAACAAGATATATTTAATATGAAAATAATCCAACAAGAGCTATTAAAAATATGCAATTTTGATATTAACTAAAAACCAACCAAATCATTTAAAAAGTTAAAATCCTAGCAATTCAAACGATTTTTTACTGTTTTCTATGTAAAAATACAACACCCTGTGCATGTGTACATCCCCACCTGTATTTATCCTCAGTCCAGGCGCCGCCTAAAGTACCTCCCACCACAAGCCATACAGCCACGCACAGCACACACATCAACCCAACACCTAACATCCCGGGACAGATGTTCTTCAATTGTTCCCAGGCTCGTTGCAATGTTGTACGGCGTTGAGAGAAACGTTGATATCTGGAACATTCGATTAGGAAGTTGTATATTTTATTCTTCATAAGATCTTCTATCTCATGTGAACAACATCCCGGGGTCCGAGTAGACAGAGATAGAAAATAACAGTACTCAAAACTAATTTTGAATACAAACAAAACTAATAATACCTGTATACTCAATGTTAGACCAAATGCTGTTACAATTCTGCAGAATATTATTTTATGCATGAATGCATTATGCAATTCTTACCCTTCCAAGATTAGAGTTTATAAAATTAAAAAAAAAACAATAAAAACGGTTCTGGTGTAATTCAATAAAATAGTACTACACTCAGCCTATGTAAATATGCAATGAAACAATAATGGTTATATTCCCAAGTTTTATGCCCTTGCATTTATATGTATGTAATAAAGATAATTCAAAGTTCATTCTGCATCGATAAACTCAAGGCTAAAGAAAACATGAGCGTTTGACCTCAAATAATTGCTCTTTGAGCTATTAATGGAAACAAATTGATTAAACAAATTAATCATATCCTGTTCTATGTGTAAATATTTAATTTTAATCATCATATATGTCTATACTAATATTATAAAGGGGAAAGGTTTGTCATTTTGTATGTTTTGAAATAACTCAAAAATTCTGGACTGATTTAAAAAAAAAAAAATCACTAATAAATGTTTCTTGTTACTGAGTAACATAAGCTTTGTTTTTTTCTATGTTTTAATTTCACATGGCTGAAGTTGCGAGCAATAGTTATTTTTTACAATTGTTATAAAGAAAAAAGATTTGCATTTTTGCATTTCTGTATGTATTTGATCCCCGCAAAAACTACTGGGCCTATTTTAAAAATTCTCTCACCATTATATAGGTAATTTATCTGTAACATAGGATATATTTTTTAATTTTATGCAGATGCGAGCAACAGCTAGTCAATTATAAAACAAGCTGTTGCTTGCGAATTTATCCATGTGAAATGTGAATAAAGTAAAAATATAGCCTAAGTTACTCACAGATAAATTATCTTCTAAGGATGAAAGAGTTTATAAAATTAGACCAGTAGTTTTTGAGTTATTTCAATATATACAAAAATATAAATCAAATCAAATAGATAAACTATCTAAACAGAAGTTATTTGTTTTTGAAGTTTTGTTACCTACTGACAAAGAGAGTAATGTTTTTTGCACATGTAAAATGTGGGTTTATATGTATGTAAATTTCCATAATGATGGCCTAGAGACTATATAGCTGAACTAATTCTGACACAAAACATATGTGATTAGTGGTAAATTTAGTGATACTTACTTATTTTGTCAGACTGCTAAAAATATTGTAAAGCTACTTTGGCTTGAGTTTCAGGAGGGATTTGGACTAAAACTTTGACTCAGGCTAATGGGTTGTAATATATTAAGTGATATAAATTATTTTACAAGTTCTTACCTCGGTTCCCTAGTGGTATCTCCATCGCTTCGAGGTTTCGGGATAATTCCACTGAATAGAGGAGCGCGAGATTTTGCGCCACTTTTACCAAATGGCGCGAACGGTAACTTGGTGTAGACACCTCCTTTGGGCCCATTCAATGAAGTCTCCTTTTGTCCTTCTACCTCTCTATCGAATACCTCTTCGATGTTCGAACTGCTACCATCTTTTGGCAATTTAAGGCTCTCATAATATATTCGATAGTTGATATTATCATTTAAAGACAACAAATCGGTTTTTGCACTTGATGGCTTATCACAAAATTCTTCAAAAGACACAACCTCGTAATCGTCATCTAATTCTCGAGGTTTTTCGTTTTTATTGTGTGGTTTCGGCATTTTGCCTTTGTTTTGTCCAATATTTTTCTTACTGCATACTATATAGAAAAGGAACAAAATTCGACACGGTTAAATTCTACCCTATCAATAATATTTTACAACGTCTCGCAAACTCAAACGGACTCTGTTTTAAGAATGTGAAAAAAACAAAAATCAGTTAACAAGAACAATAACCATTTTATAGTAAAATTAACTTATAAACAACAACTACGCCGCGGCGCTGCTTGTGCACAGACACGGAAAACATTTGCCATAGATAATACATATTAATTACTCATTTACTCTTCGAAAACATTTACTCTGCGCTGATGTGTTCGTTGTGTCTATTGCGTACCTGTGATCGCTTTAAAAGGATAGGTCATTGCTTCATAATGACATCTTTTTATGCTTTACCACTTAAACCCATGGAAGTACTACTTATTACGTAGTACGTATTATCACTTATTACATCCATGCTTAAACCTAACTTAAATACCTCCAACTAATTACTTACAGTCGATATATGTGTATAGGTGTATAGGTGTTTTCCGCTTATTAATTTAGTTTCATTGTTAAAAGATAATACAAAAAACAAGAATATTGCTAATAATTACTAGATAGCACCAAAACCACACATTAGAATTTCTAAATATGTTATAAAGTAATTGATAATTTTTTATCATAATGTTATTCGAAATGGTCAGACTAATTGAGAATTTATTACAATACTAATAACCACCTCTGTAGACTGAATAGTAAAAAATCCACACTTTTGTTTAGTTTCTTCATACTTAGGTCCTTTATGTACCTGTTCTAGTTTATAATGTTTTAATGAGGGTAGATCGTAAACTCCCAGACATCAAAGCTAATAAGAACGTAATTGTCAAAAGCGTGGACAGCATGGCGGACTATATTATCAAGAAAGTAAAACACAGTTTATAAAATTGTGCGAGTCTATTGTTTTGTGATAATTGGTGAGCAATATGGATTGGAAAAGTACAAAAATGATTTTGGCATCAGCTGCTGCTGTAGTAGTAGTTTCTCAAGTGGCGAAAAAACTATGCAAATATATTTTTAATTCAAGCAAACATACAGAAAATGAGGTAGCAAATGACGATACGTGTAGTGAAGTTTTACAGATAAAGAACCGTGAAATTAATGATGTTATTTTATTTTCCGATGACATTGTTCGGCACACTATTAGAATTCCAACTAACAAAGAAATAACAATTTGTGAAAGTAGAGAACTTAATTGTTTTAAGTTAATCAAATATATTAAATCAGCGCGAGAAACTCTAGATGTGTGTATGTATCTAATAACAAGTACTGAAATAACTGAACAAATAATAAGATTAGGTCAGAAACATGTTTTAGTGCGAATTGTTGTAGATAGTGATATGGCATATGCTCCTCCATCACAAATCAAAAGACTAGAAGAATACAGTAAGTTTATTAAAATTTGACTTACAGTTGTGATGTAGTGTACCTTTATTAACTAGTTTTTTTTCTGTTTTACAGGTTTTATCCAAGTCCAGACGAATAAAAGAACAATATTAATGCATCATAAGTTTTGCATTGTTGATGGTCCAAAAGCCATTAAGCGAAAACTTTTATTAAGAGCACACGCCGAGAAATTAAATGTGCATGGACATTTAACCAGGAAGTTTGCAAACCAAGTTCCGAAAATCAAAAATACAAAAGGTTTCGTAATGTCTGGTTCACTTAATTGGTCAACCCAGGCGATGATATCAAATCATGAAAGTGTGATCGTAACATCTCATCCGAACATTGTGTCTAAATTTGAAAAGGAATATGAAAGTTTATGGGTAGAAAATGAACCTGTAAGTAATATATCTGTAAATGTTTGTTAATATTTAATCAGGTGCACTTAAATTGTTTTTGTTCTTTTCACAGACTTTGAAATCAACATGACACGCAACATTACGAGATTATTTTGTATATAAATAGGTACGTGTTAACTTTATAAGTATAAATTTCATATTGTCAGTATTAAAAACTCGCCAAAATAATCATTCCAGTAACTGGGTACCTGAATGTTTAGATATCATGTTCTAAAACTGGTAAGTGGTAAAAACTTTAACCAATAACCAGAGACATTTTATTTAGACCTTCGGTTTGAAATGTCAAGTTTTTCATTCATTCATTTCTCTCAAAAATGACAGGACAACGCCATAGACAAGTCCATGTGCACTTCAATTCAATTTCGATCGATCATATGTTTTCTTTGTGTAGTTTTTTCAGCCGCTGTAATTCGAATTGGTTATAATGTAAATCCCTAATAAAATTTTATTAAAATTCGTACAGTGTTGATGTGAAATACGGCAATTTTAGGGATCACAATCCAAGTTCGGTCGGAAAAATTTGTAAGATATAAAAAAGGTGCACTTCGAGTGCACGTGCTTGCATTTTTCAGATAATTTCATGTCATTTCAGTCATATAAGTGTTTCAAAAGTAAGTTAATAGTAAGAGGAACTCGCTTGTAACTGTATACTTCAGCTTAAGGCTTCAATTTTGTGGTTTTATTAACATTTCGATATAAAACAAATGTTAGGTTGAGTTGGAAGATCTCTTATTTGGTTATTTTTTTTAATCAAAATTTGCGATGCATGCGTTAACCTGGATTAGAGCTTTGAAGGATGAAGTGTTAGTGGTACGTGAACATTTTTTTATCTGACAATTATTTTAAGGTTACTATACAAAATAGTGTGGAAAAGAATGACATTCCAGAAAGGTCATTTAGAACACCTTATTTTTAATTTATTCCTTGCTAATTTACCACTTATTAACAATATTTATAGGATATTTATGTATTCTTTAACAAGAATAGTCATTAAAAAGGAAAATTAATAAAATTTAAGAACATGCAATGTTGATGTCCATGACCCTTTGAAGTTGTCCTTAAAAAGCTAGAAACTTCAAGTAAAATTAAATTAAAAATTTCTTTTATTTAAAGAAAGATTTCTTTTGCTTTCATATACTATTGAATACTGTATAAAGTTTATATAAAATCAATTTTAATAGGTTTAAAAGTTTGTGTAAAATTCATGCCGACTGACTGAAAATAACATTATTTTCAACTGTTTTTGGTTTATGAGACTTTCAAAGTTAATTGAATATGATTTTAGGTTTGCGGAAAAGTGTAATAAGTGTTTTATTTTATTATAAAAAAAATATTGTTGTAATTTGAACATGTGGTACATTTATAATGGTATAAAGGATTTTTCTTGTAATATAAAGACATTTTTCTACGCAACTAAATCTGACCCATTTATGTTTGTAGAATAAAACTTGTTTTTTTGTTTTGTTAAAGCTTGAAATGTTTATAAATGTCCTTTGTGTATGATTATCACTAATTAGCAACGTCTGCATTGTTTCAGATGGATGCGCGAATGATGCAATGCCAAATGTGCAATCGTGAAACATGTGCAAAATATTGTTCAGTGTATATAAAAGAATTTAATATTAAGTGTGCAAACTGTAAATATAAAAGGTGATGAAATATCTCGACAATTGATGATAATTGTATTGGTTCAGTTTACATGTTTGAAAAAGTGCGCTTTGGATGCAGTGTTTTTGTGCTACATTTTACTTTTGGAAATGCTGAAAGGAATGCTGATGTGTTTCGCTACGCGTCGCTAGATGGCGTTGGTATGTGTTTTCTCTAAAGAGTATCTTTTATTTCAGCGACATCTATTGTTGGATAGCTACATTACAAAGTTTTGTATTGCAGCGTGTAACCGCTAGATGTCGCTTAATTTCGTGTGACCATAAATAGTTGTTTTGAATCGCGAGATGGCGCTACTAGGACCTATTTGATAAAACATTTGATATTTCCATGATTCTTGATTTTTAATAAGAAATGTATTATTTGTAAAAAGAATGCAATAAATGGCTTAATTTTTAAAATAATTTAAATCTGTTACCTGTTAAAAATTAAAAGAATCATTTGTGAGAATATTACAAAGTCTCGTGATGAATATCTATGAGGAGATAAGGATTTATATCCTATATTAGTAAAAAAAATTCTACATACGGACGTGTATCGTGTTAGTTATGATACGCATTAGTGATTCAACGTTGAACTGCCTTGAACTTGAGGCGTTACGAAAAAATTTAAAATATTTCCTGTACTGTTGGTCATTTGAATTGGACGTCGATGTGATTGATTTGATATGGGGCTGTGACAACATACGTGTTAACATTTAAATTATCATAAAGATTTTTTTTTAAATCTAATTCTAATATATTGCGTAACATTTGTACGTTTTAATTCAAGATAATAACGATTACCACATGTCAATACATCGCTGATCTCAAATTAAGATTAACTGTTGCTCGCGACTTCGTCCTCGTGTAATTAAAAAAAAGCCTTTGCTACTCAGTGAAAATAGCTTTTTAATGTTGACAGCAGTTTTTGAGTTATTTCAATGTATACAAAAATACAAATCTTTCCTCTTTATAATATTAGCATAGATGTCACGACCTATTCAAGTAATCAGTATTAATTTGATCTATATTAGAGTAAAAATCCTATAGTCAGTTGATACTAGAATTGTTAGGAAGTGCGTTGATCCATGTCGCATTGCGGTTTCTTGACGCACTAAGACAATACCTGTATTGAAAACGAGATTGTTTTAAGGGTGTTATATTATTCAAATAAGTAAATGCTCTAATTGTTATTACAATGAATTCAGTAATTATTACATATATTTTCAGTTACGTGATATATCAATGTATTATAGATATCAAAATGTCTAAAGATTATTTTATTTAGGCCATTAAGTACATTATGTGGGCGTAACAATAGATATGTGCTTCATAAGCAATATATCTTGGCGTATTATCAAGATAACCCGGGATTTATTTCACTTGTAAGGTTTTATTGTAGGAACAAAGAGCACAAAAGAACTTTCGGTGGGTAGCAACAAAAGAAACCGTATATCATATGATATTTGCGAAGTACGCGATACGAGTGTAATGAAATTCATTTGTTTTGCTTTTATAACTACGATATATCAATGTTGTTACTAAGTTTATGTTGGTAATAAGTATTTTTGTAGGTATTTTATGAAGTGTCAAGTTAGCAGTTTTGTCACGTTCAACATATTGGTTTTCAATCATTTTTATTCTGCAACGTTTTAACAAACTTTATCATTTACAATTGGTAATATCAAAGGTTGCTTTAGGATTTATCTTTACACATGACTAGTTCCCGTGCGACTTCATCCGCATAAAATTGTTTACATTTGTCAAATCAATTGCAAATGCCAAAATGACATGACATATGACAAACCATAGGAACCTTGCTTCCTTAATGTTGGCAGCTTGTAGTCCTCTTGTTTTTTCCAATTCGTTTCTCCCCCAAGATTAATAACGTATATATAGCCTTAAGCGTGTCGTAACTGTAGGGCTTTTAAAGAAGGAATTATACAAAAATAAGCTGTTATTGCTGACATACTACCTAACAAAGTAGTGTGTTTACGCTTTATTATATTAGTATAGATACTGGATTTGGCCACCTGAAGTTCCTATGGTTAGTTGTCCGTGGTTCGTATGTCTTTTTTTTTTATAAATGATTTCCTTAATATACTTTGGTTATGAAAACCTATCGCACAATCGTCTGCAAAGTGCCTATACACGCAATAAAGATTAAACAGTACTAACTACTTTAAACTCATTTGATGTTAAAAGTGGAACAATTGACAAAAGCCATGACAAGTATGAATTATGACTGATTAGAACATTTCTAGATTGTGTTAATGTTGTGAAATAGTTGCCCCCTTATGTTGAAAGTTTTTAGTTTCACATTTTCATACTAGATGGCGTTAGTGGTAGTATTTTAGCACTTTTCGGTAACTGTGAAGACTTGTTTTTACTGCAGTGTTAGTAAAATCAAGATAAATTTTGATATTACTTTATTTTATTAGACTTATATGCATTATATTTACATATTTTAAATTGAGTTTATAAATAACATTGATTGTTTTTCTTCTAGCAAAGTAAACGTATTATGTATTGTCTGATCTGCGTTGTTTATTATTGATAAATTACAATAAATAGTTATTCACAAATCATTAGGTGCACATAATTATGGTGGCGCCTTCCTCAAGTCTCGCATTACCGAGGCCGTTGATAAGAAGTCTTTCGGCCCAATACTGAAACCAATATTAACACTGCGCTTCGTATCTTAGATCTAAATTTTAATTTTGCAATATCGTTGCCTATTTTTAATCAACAGACCGGACGCACAACGATATTTCTCTTACCTATGCGTCCCATCCCCCGCCAAATCTACTAGCCATCTTTTCCTTGTACGAGAACGATGAAAAGTAGAAAAATAATAAAATTAAACGCAAATCCAATGCAATAAACAACGGTAAAATTCCCCTCATTTGAAAAGGTCTTTCGCGCCATAATTATAGAAGGACTTTAGAAAAAAGTGCGTATTGTGAGGGGAAGTAGAAACAATATGGTATAGGCTATGAATATTAAAAGGGACGGTGAAATTCTCGGAAGGTGTCAAACCATCCATTAACTGCAGTGTATCCCAGCCTGTGCATACAAACTGCGCATTAGGAACCGATTTGATTAACAAAAAGTTGGTTTTTCCACACTGTTAGGTCTAAGGTTTAGTACACACTATTGCAGTTACAAATGTGTAAAGAAGTTTGACATATGAAGTTGGTATTTGATATTGCATTGAACAGGATTATAGATTGTTATTCGAAAATTTTTTTTTAAATTTCAATATATGTAATTTTAATACCTGATAGGAGGTTTATGCAGTTAAAGAGAAGATGGGAATAAAAGCGTTGTAAATTTTGTTTTTTAAAAGAAATATCGGATTTTGTTCCCTTATCTGACAGTGACGTCGTTTTTAAGCTATCCGAGCCTCTATCAGCCAGTAGTGGGACAAGCCGTTAATCACGTATCTAATGTTGAATGT